ATAGTTTTGAGTGGACTGACCCAGGACTGCATACTATTTCTAATGGCTCTCTTGGGTCAGCAACTAGGACAGCAGAGTTGAAGGGGGGAAACACCAAGCCCCCATACAGGGTAACTTTTTTATGAAGTTTCCAACTTCTGTCCACTTCTGGAAATTTTTGGCAAAATGAATCGAGCACTTATATGAAGAATAGAATGAAGAGGTTTTAGTGGTTGTTGAGAGGAGTCAGTAGACTCTTTATTGTTCTGTCCCTCTTATATATTGTGTTGTTCTGTTGTGTGTTTGATGTCTGCTGGCAGTTTTAGAGCCACTGCAACTTGTTTAGATACATGATTTGGTATCTCCCTGTGTCCTCCCCTCCTGTTAGGTGCTAGTTAGTTCAGTCTTAGCTAGACTTTCTGTCTAGAGTCTCTGTCAGTGTTAGTTCTTTGCAGAGACAGGGCTTGGGAAGGTTGTTGTCTTACATTTCAAAGGACTGGAAAACACCCTCCGAACTGCAATTATCAGAAGTAACAACATGCTGGGCTCAATTTATGTATCTTATTGAAGAGTTAAACTGCTTGTGGATGGTGCCAAGTCTGCAGGTGACCATAATTACTGGAGGGACTGAGTCTAAGGAGGCAGCCTCATATTCATATCAATTCATAAAATGGAATTTGAAACATTTATAGTTCAGCAAATATGAAATCATCTCTTCTGTTCTCTTGTATGGCAATCTGCCCAGTTGAAAAGTAGCTCTGCTTGACCCCATGCTGCCTCTAATATTGCATTCTATGATTAGCTTTTACTAATATTATCACATGACAGGTAAGGGGGAAGATTTGTACAAAAGGGCATCATTATTCAAGTCCTCATAGGGAAGCTGGATGTCCAAATACAGTACTCAAGTGATCCTTTAAGAATAATAAGCCCTACAATATAAACTATTCTTGGAACAGATTTCCTGTCTAAATCTTTTGTGATGTAAATGTTGTAAAAAGTTTTTTTGATGTATAATACCCTCTCACAGTGTATCATATGTGCTACTTGGGAGAAGAATGTATAATTAATTTATGCAAATGAAATCGCTGTATTCACCTAGCCCGACAATGTACAGTACATTTGCTAAGTGATGCAGAGGGAGATATTGTTCTAACTTAATGACATAGACATAATCCGAAGAGTGATATGCAATAATAGAATACCCTGACTGCTGCCAAAATAAATTAAGAAATAAATGTAGGACTTCTTTTCTTTTTTTTTTACGACAGGTACACTGTAGACAATTGACGTGTCAGTCTCCAAGGAAAAAAAATTCTAAATAACTGGATATACATATTAAACAGTGGTCAAGGGTGTGGATGTGATTCAACTACTGACATAACTTTTTTTTTTAAATATACATTTTCAGCTCATCCAAGCATGCAGGTTTATGTCAGTAGAGGAGAATAGTTAAGAAAAGGCACTAGCTAGCTAAGTTATTGGGACACTTATTATCCAAAATGTTCAATTATTAGTTCCCCACAGAATGGTTAGCTGGCCATTCCCTTTTGATCTGGTGGCATTGGTAACACCAACCAATTTTGGTTGTTTTTGCTGCTGTTGGTTTGTCATCTTGCACTTTCTCCCCAGCAAGCAAGATATAGTCTTCTGGTTGTCATAGACTGGCCCCTGGAATGAGAAGGCCGGACTTTCGAGGGCTTTTCACATAAGTTAGAGGGAGGGAGCTGCTGTGTGCAGAGTGGCAGCATCCCAAAGGTGCCTGGATATTCCCAGCCATGACGTCACTACAGGGAGCAGTGCAGAACATGCAACCTTCAAGCACTGAACACCAATGATGAGGCACCATTTCCAACTGATACCGGAATCATCATTTCTCTGACTGAAAAAGGAGCACCATTCCTCCCACTGACAAATTGACACCGTTTCCTTCCAGTAACGCAGGGGACACCATTCTTCCCATTGACACATGAGTATCATTCCTTCCAATAACAAATGGACACCATTCCTCCTACTGGCAAAAGAGAACCATTCTTCCCACCGGCACATGGGCACCATTTTTCCCCCGGCACATGGGCACCATTCCTCCTACTGACACAAGACCACCATTCTTCCCACTGACACATGGGCATCATTCCTTACACTAACACAGGGGCACCACTCCTTCCACTAACACAGGGACATTATTCCTTCCACTGACATGGGACAACCACTCTTCCCATTGGCACATGGGCATCATTTCTTCCAGAAACAAAGGGGCACCATTCCTCCCACTGGCACAGGAGCACCATTCTTTCCACTGATAAATGGACACCATTCTTTCCACTAACACAGCGGCACCATTCCTCCCACTGACACAAGAGAACCATTCCTCCCACTGACACATGGACATCATTCCTTCCACTAACACAGGGGCACCATTCCTCTCACTGACACAGGGGTACCATACTTTCCACTGACACATAGGCATCATTCTTTCCACTGGCACAGGGACACCATTCCTCCTACTGACACAAGACAACAATTCTTCCCACTGACACATGGGCATCATTCCTTACACTAACACGGGGGCACCACTCCTTCCACTAACACAGGGACATTATTCTTCCCACTGACATGGGAAAACCACTCTTCCCATTGGCACATGGGCATCATTCATTCCAGAAACACAGGGGCACCATTCCTCCCTCTGGCACAAGGGCACCATTCTTTCCACTGATAAATGGACACCATTCCTTCCACTGATACAAGAGAACCATTCCTCCCACTGAAACAAGAGAACCATTCCTCCCATTGACACATGGACATCATTCCTTCCACTAACACAGGGGCACCATCCCTCTCACTGACACAGGAGATCCATTTCTCCCACTGACACAGGAGATCCATTCCTCCCACTGACACAGGAGATCCATTCCTCCCACTGACACAGGAGATCCATTCCTCCCACTGACACAGGAGATCCATTCCTCCCAGTGACACAGGAGATCCATTCCTCCCACTGACACAGAAGATCCATTCCTTCCACTGGCACAAAAGATCCATTCCTCCCACTGACACAGGAGATCCCCATTCCCCCACTGATACAGGAGATCAATTCCTCCCATTGACCCAGGAGATCCATTCCTCCCACTGGCACAGGAGATCCATTCCTCCCACTGACACAAGAGAACTATTCTTCCCACTGGCACAGGAGAACCATGCCTCCGACTGAAATAGGGCATTTATTATTCCCACAGACAAATATTACCATGGCATTTTTTACTGTCACTGATATAGAGGCATTTTTTACTCCAACTGACTGCCAACAAAAGGGCATATTTACTTCCACTGATGCAAGGACATTTTTTGCTCCCACTGATGACTGACACAGGAGCATCGTTTACTTTCACTACCCCCTACTCCAAATGAACACTACCGTAGGGGTAATTTTTATTCTCACTGACCACCAATGTAGGAGCTATTTTTATTCCCACTGATCACCAAAGTACAGTAGGGACAATTTTTATTCCCACCATCTCGGGGCATTTTTTACTACCACTCATGCAGGGGCAGTTCTTATTCCTACTGACCAGTAATGTAGGGGCATTTTATTTTTACTCCCACTAATCCCAGTCCAGCCCAACATGATGTGAACATGTTGCCCTTAGTTTAAAAAGTTTGGGGACCCCTGGATAATAGCCACCAATACATGCATATAGTAAACACAAAAGATATGCAAAGGATACACAGTGACTAAAAATATTAGTCAGTTTTACAGTTTTACACTCTTTGTTAAATACTTCACCCTCATATGCATTTAATATATATATATATATATATATATATATATATATATATATATATATATATAATATATATATACAGTACAGGAAGTATTGTGAGATTTGCATCCATTCACAGATATACCAGTGCCTAAGGATCAACTAACCCCCTTTGGTCTATCATGAATTCTGCCACCAAACTCACCTTACCAACCCATTCAGGGCCTGCTACCCTTCCCTACCAATCTCTCCATTGGCTTCTATTCACCAAGCAAATAATGTATAAAGAATTTAAAAGGCTATGAACAACATACAAAGTCATTCAGAACTCTGCCCTAGGCTACATAACCAATCTTGTCTTGAAATATCACCAAATCCATGCTATTTACTCCTCTCAAGACTGCTCTCAAGCTTTCTTATCACCTCCAGAACCTCTCCCATCCCTTGGTGCTCCCAACCTCAATCGTTTCAGCCTTCTCTTACTCTTCCTGCATTTAGGTGATCCTTTGAAGCTAAATAGGGAAGCCTACCCTTCATCTATCTAAAAATTTAATTTTACTTTCCCCACCAACTCATCCTCCACACAGTTATTACCTTTTTTTTTTTCTCCCTCCACCCCCCCCCCCTTTCCCTGCCTTTGGGATTGCAAGCTCTTCCAACCCTCTTCTCTGGAACTGTAGTATAACTGTACTATAACTGCACTGTCTCCTTTAATCAGGAACAAGCTAAACGTTTGCTGGAAATGGTGAGATTTGCATATAACTTCTAAAGCCATATAATATCAAAATCTGAAAATCTATTACTACTGTGGCAGTCTCCAGAAAATGTGTTTCTGTACATTAGTAACTGTACACTAAGAGTTTTGTAGCCATTATTCAGAGTGTTGGGGTTGTTTCTCTGAGATTAACTTCTGCTGAAGGCAATTTTTCATGATATGCTTAGACTGAATGGTCTAGGTTTGTGACAAGTTTCTTAATGCAAAATAGAGTGGACTTTTTATTTTGGCTGCTAGATTTCCTGACTAATTAATAGTTTAGTGATTGATTTCACTTGCTGCCTAGAATTGCTCTTTAATGTAATTACAATAAATTGCTAATTATAATGCTGTTCCCAGTATGCAAAAGAAGCCATCAGAGAACAGAACAGATTATATGGGTTCCAGTCCCTTGCTTAAAGTGTTACTAAACCCAGCACTATATCTGGTCTTCCACAGTACACAGAACACGGAAATGCAATTATTTTAGTAAATATAAACTGCTAAATACCTTTTCTCATCAGAGGTTCAAGCAGTCTTCTGACTTCTATCAGTGTCCAGCAGAGCCATGGTTGAAAGCTTGTAGGAGCAGTTTTTTATTCTCCCCTGATTGTCCTATAAGGCTGCATAACCCCTGGACCTCTGTCTGGACAGTGCTGATTGGCCCTGTGCTGATCACATGCACTCCCCCAAGAAAAAAAAAAGAAAGCTCTCTAGTAATATACACCAAACTGAGCATGTGCAGCTTGCCTCCAAGGCTCTATTCTTTCAGTAGATAGATGGTGGACAGTAAAAGAAGGGGAGGATCAGAGAAGACAGGATCAAACATTCTTTTTCACAGTGCGGAGTATTAAGCTCTTCGGTTCCACAGTAAGTATAACAAGCATGCTTTACTGCATATACAGACTGATTTTACTGTTGTGCGTTTAGTAAACACTTTAAAGACTAAGTTTAGTAAAAAAAGGAAATTTTAATCTTCACAAGAAACATTGTATACAGAAAATCCAATGTTTCCCTTGTGCTTCTGGCTGTGGATGTAGTTGAAACCTCTTCCTCTACCCTTGCCACCAAAGTCCAAAGTGGGGGTTAATAAAGCAGAAGGACATATCATATGCACTCATTGAGAGTGTCAACTATGCCAGCATATTCCACCTCCCTCCTCCTCCACTCATGGATCCTTTTCCATTCATAGAAACTATAGTACTGCTTCTTTGAATGGAGGAGTGCCTTTTAATTCATCTTCAATTCATTGTTTTTCATTCATGGAAGCCATAGTACATCTTCTATGAATGGAGAAGGCAGGTGGAAATGATGAGCATAATTGACACTCTTGATGAGCCCATATTAGGTATATGTCCCTCTGCTCAATCAACCCCATGGCTTTAAATACTTTTTTTTCATAAAAACTTCACTTGTGACCATTAATATTCTTTGTTGGAAAATATGGAGCCATTCTTTGTGTTGGGCTGTTTGACAACGGATAAAGCCCAGTCAGGCAGAAAGACTCTCCCTGGAAACCTCAAATGCCTCAGCTGCTAGCTTCCAGTTGGGAATTGTGGAGACATTCTGTGTGTTGGGCTTTTTCACAATGGACGACCTCCAGTCTGGCTGAGAGACACTTCTTGAAAACCTCACCTCACCATTGATAGCTTCCAGTTGGGAAATGTGGGGGCATTGTGTGTGTTGAGCTTTTTCACAATGTATCACATCCAGTCTGCCTGGGATACACTTTCTGAAAACCTCACGTTACCATGGATAGCTTTCAGTTGGGAAATGTGGGACATTCTGTGTTGGGCATTTTCCACAATGGATTATGTCCAGCCTGGCTTGTAGACACTTATTGAAAACCTCACCTCACCATTGATAGCCTCCAGTTGAGAAATGTAGAGGCATTCTTTGCATTGAACTGTTGGACAATTTGTAAAGTCCAGGCTGGCAGAGAGACTACATCTGCATCTTACCTTGACCTACTGCATTTAACGTATATAGCACCAACAGCTTATTTCCAGAAATAGTTCCCATCATTTCTAGAGGAACGTAAAATGTATTGCTCCTTCCATGGGATGTAGCACTGTTGAGTAAGGAAAAAGTTTTAGAATTGCTAAGGAAAACCAAAGAACCTTAAAAAACAGTGCACAACTACAGAATAAACACAAAAATTCCAAAAAAGAAGGTGATATGGTTGCAAAGGGAAAAGTGTTAACCACTTTTTATAAGATTCAATGATCTCCATTAGTGTTGATCCCATACACTCACTTTATTCTAACAGTGATTCTTGCTGAACTGTATCTTCTATTGTTCTTGGGCATTTATTGGTTAATGAGGATAAACACCAAAAGGCCTAAAAACAATGGTTTTTACTGGTACTGTAATCAGCTTCACTCTTCATTTTTTAGCATCTCATTTGCACCTCTTGTGTTAGAATGATCTGGCCTAGCAGCAGGAGATCTATTCCTGTAATAAACACTTTTGTGTCTGTAGCAATTATCTCAGGTATATGTAACATTCCACTATACTGTTATCTAAATCAGCTCAGTACTGTAAAAACAGAAAGTGTACTTGTGCAATATAGGCTACTAAATGTACCCTTTATCTCTGACATCTGTGTCTTTCTCATATACAGTAGTAAAGATGTACTATGTACAGTACAGGAATTAAAGAAGATTTGTGAGGGTGGAAAATGGCAGCTGCCATTGATGGCTTTTTTTTTAAGCGCAGGCATCCTCTGCAACCTTAAAAACAGATTAGAAATCATTCCCCGTGCAAAAACAACCCCTTTAAAAAAAACAAATCTAAAAATTATTTTTTCTATCACTGTTTAAAGTGTTACTAAACACAGGACCCTGCATGCACTATATCTGGTCTCCCACAGTACACAAAACAGGGAAGCCTATCCTCCTCTCAGCTAATGATGGAATCTTCTATTCCTCCACCAGTCCATCCCCCACAGTTAATACCTTTTGTACCACTAGCCCCTCCCTCTTAGATTGTAAGCTCCAAGGAACGGGGCCCTCCTAGCCCTCTTGTATTGAACTGTATTGTTGCTGTATTGTCTCCCCATATATTGTAAAGTGCTGAGCAAACTGGTGGCGCTATATAAATCCTGTATAATAATAATAAAAAATGTAATTATTTTAGTAAATATAAAACTGCAAAATACCTTTTCACATCAGCAGTATACTGTATAGCAGTCTTGTGACTTCTATCAGTGTCTGGCCTAGCACTGGTTAAAGCTTGTAGGAGTTTTCATTCTCCTCTGACTGTCCTATGAGGCTGCATGACCCCTGACCCTCTGTCTGGACAGTGCTGATTGGCCCTGTGCTGATCACATGCACCCTCCCCCTCCCCCCAAAAAAAAAAAAAAAACTATCTAGCAATACACACAAACTAAGCATGTGCAGAGTGCCTCCAAGGGCTCTCTGCTAGTACTAGCAGCAAATGGATTGGGGACTGTGGAAGAAGGGGAGGATCAGAGAAGACAGGACCTAACAGCCTTTTTACACAATGCAGAGGATTAACCCCTTAGGTTCCACAGTGAGTATAACAAGCATGTTTTACTGCATATACAGACTGATTTTAATGTTGTGGGCATAGTTTACTTTAAGCACAATGCATACTTACACATTAAGGCTCCATGCACACTATCGTTTTTTAAGCTCCTAGAAGCTGCTATTAGCATTTTTTTCTGCTACTAGAAGCTAAATAATGGTATTCTATGTGCCCTTGCACATTACTTTAGACTCTTAGCATTTTTTGAGCTTCAGTGTCTAGGAGCAGAAAAAATGGGTTTTATAGAGGTTTTTGGAGCGTTATTCCAGCAGAAAAAAAAAACGCTAAATGCTCCTAAACGCTATTAAGCTTTTTTCTACATGTACTATAAAAATGCTAATAAAACGCTAATGCTCCTAAACGCTTCTAAACTCTAGTAAAATACGCTATTTTTATACAGCATTTTTTGAACTTGTGCATGGAGCCTATTGCAAGTGCAACCTTAGGTTATATTGACCTCTGAGAGAGGTAGTATGCCTCTATGTAGTAATACCAGGTCCATGATTTAATAGGTAATAAGCTCAGGGTAAGGATGGCAGCCCTGGAGGTATACACATTTACACACAAATGATTATCTCATCTCAGTTTAAAGGGTAACTTCACTTTCATGGGATAAAAATAGCAAATACAAAAAATAATATAGCATATACAGATGCAAAACAAGTCATATTGTAATTGAATGCTATTAAAATTCCCTTTCCTTTTCAATCTGCAGCCACTGTAATTTTCTGTAACATGCAATATTGTAACCAGTTAGTGTACAAAACTTCCCCAGAAATGTTATTTCTTGTTTGTATGATTGGCTCATCGATTTCCCAGAAGTCTGCTCTAACATAAAGTCAAATTTTGGGCATCCCCAGCAACAGAAATGCCATTTTTGGTGAGATACTCTCCAGGGGAAAATTACGTCTAAAAGGATTCAGATCCTAAAACTTTCCTCATTAGTGTCCAGCAAGTGCAGCAGGTGATTGCTAATGATAAAATCACTCCCATTCACATTCTCTTTGCACATGGACACAGATTAACAACCGCTATTGTAACGGAACCAACCCATAAGAGGGATATGGGGAGCTGAGACAGGGGTCTCCCCACCTCTCCAAATAAGTTGGGTTCCATGGGCCCCCCAGCCAAAGTGACTTCTGTCACAGCTATTTCTTCAGAATGACAGGAGGTAGGAATCTGCAACAAAGTTTGTTTAAACCCTTCCATTATACATAGATCACCCACAGGGAATGTTTTTTTTAAAATTTATCTGCAAAAGTGGAATTACTCGTTAAAGTAAACCCAATCACTAAAACGGTTAATGCCACTTCAAAAGACATTTTCATTGGTTTTAAATATGCAGTGATCATTAACCACTTGCCCTCCAGAGGATTTACCCTCCTTCCTGACCAGGCCATTTTTTGCGATACGGCTCTGCGTTACTTTAACTGAGAATTGCGCGGTCATGCAACGCTGCACTCCAATGAAATTTATGTTCTTTTTTTCCCACAAATAGAGCTTTTTTTCAGGGGTATTTGATCACTTTTGTGTGTTTTATTTTTTTTGCGCTATAAAAAAAAAACACCAACAATTTTGAGACAAAAAAACAATATTTTTGACTTTTTGATATTAAACATGTCCAGTAAAAAAATTTTAAAAATCAAATTTCATCATAAATTTCGGCCAAAATGTATAATATGTGTAAATTAATTGGTTTACGTGAAAGTTATAGCGTTTACAAATGGCAGTAAAGATACTAGAATTTTTTTTGCGAGTAAAAGTGGTGATCACCAACTTATAGCGGGACTGCTGCAAGCATTCTTACACTGGAGGGAACTGATTTGGTGTCACTGACATCCCCAGTGACACCAATACAGTGATCAGTGCTAATAAAAAAACACTGACACTGTACTAATGGCACTGGGCAGAAAGGGGTTAACATGTGGGGCGATCAAAGGGTTAACTGTGTGCTGTTTTACTACATGGGCTGTATCTGTGTTTCACTGTAAGCACACTGCTTTGTATGGCTTTGCTATGCAATGTGCAGGAGCTGACAGGAGAGAGATCTGTATTGTTTACATACAGGTCTCTCCCCTATCTGAGATACTTGAATATCACTGGGTGCCAGCGACTAATCACTGGCCAGGACCCGGTGATCGACAGCCGAGGCCACAAATGGTCGGAACTGCAAAATCACGTATATATACATGATTTTGCACACCCCTGCTGCCATGTAGCAGTATTCCTGGAGGGGAAACGGTTAACAAATATACATGTGGTCGTGCCATAAAGCTCTTGTTCAGGCATTTCTTAAAATGTGGCAAGATTTTGTCCCTGTCTCCCTGTTGTGTTCCTTAAATATCACACAGACTTCCAAGGAGGGCTGGAGGTGGCAGTACCAGCACATATTTTTTGCTATTATAATCTATTGTCACAATAACAAAACCCACCTTGAAAAATGCCTAGAGTGCACAGGAGCTGCAAGAAGGCTCCAAGAAATCAACATCAAAGTATGGAAAAATGGTAAACACTTTAAAAAAAAAGCATGGCAGTTGTTTTAAGTTGTACAGTGCTTTAGAAAACTAAATACCATTACATTAGGGTTTACATCCACTTTAATGTAATGAAATATTAGAGGTGCCAGTGGCGGGTTTAGAGATTCCTTGCTTTGCCTTGGTAGGAGTGTATTCAGGAGGCACTTTGCATACAGAATTACTGTATATCATGCTTTCATCTTAGAGCAAACCTGGGTGTATAGCATTTCTGAAACAGGTGGTGTATTCTAGTGCAGTGAGCTTTGGCCTGTCTCTTCCCATGCCTTATGATTAGTCCATTACCGTGAATGTATTATCAATGGTGATGAATGGGGTATTCTAGAACAGGGGTCCCCAAACTATGGCTTGTGGGCCACACAACCAGTCAACTACAAACTTTTATTCAACCCGGTGTGATGGGCTGACTCTGATGTGAGGGGGGATGTGACCCTAATGTGAAAGGGGCAAACTGATGTGTTGGGGCTTCTGATGTGAAAGGAAGACTCTGGTGAAAGAGTGGGGATTCTTATGTGAAAGAGGGACCCTCATGTGATGTGATGGGGGGGGTGGGCTTTTAATGCAAAAGGGGGAACTTCTGATGTGAAACCAGGGGCGGACTGACAACTCATGGGGCCCCCGGGCAATAGGGGATCATGGGGCCCCTGTGTCCTTGCCCAAACTCAAAAAAGCCTGTGAAAAAGGTACCAGGGGCATCTCATGGGGCCCCCTACTGACCCTGGGCCCTCGGACAGTGCCCGAGTTTCCAAATGGTCAGTCCGTCCCTGCGTGAAACTATTTCTTAAAGCGTGTTCATTTATATAAATTTGAATCATTCATTTATATAAGTGCACACTGGATGTTTTCTTTCCCCGAACGCCTTGCTCTAGGTGAGGAAAAAGCAGCATTATAAACAAGCCCAAAGCTGTATTTTATCAACACATTTAGGCGCACCAGTCGCTGGGGTGTGCATTCCATTGGTCAGATTCTGGCCATTGGAATAAATAAATGACCCAAGCAACCTTTATTTACGCTTACACGCGTTTATGTGCGATTGGGGTTTTTTATGCGGACACGTTCCTCTCCTGAACTCGCTGGCACTGGGGATTTCTTTCTTCTTCTAAACACCTGTAAATGCCTATGTGTGCATGGACACCTAGACTAACATAGAGGGGCGTTCAGAGGCACAATATTGGCCCGTGAATAATTGTAAAATATGCAGTGTTGGTCCTGTACTGAAAAGATTGGAAACATTATATCCAGAGGTACACTTCAACCTCATTGCCCTTTAGGGCTGGTTCACCCCAAAACGCGGTGCAGGAAAGATGTGTTGTATGTATGCGGGTGCCAATGATTTGTAAACCCCTCAAACACATCTCGCAAATGCCTCACCTTTGCGGCCTGCAAATCGCATGGTACCACATTACAATGCAGTTGCTGCAATGCATTCTGAAAAAGTAGTGCTTGCGCTACTTTTTCCACTTTCCAGTGCGTTTTGCAATCCATTCACATGAATGGGTGGCAAAACTGGACCTCACAGTAACATTCGGCAATGCACAGGAACATGGAGGAACATGTTCCGACGTTCCGGGGCGAACAAGCCCCAAAAGCTGCTGAGACTTTGCACATTGTTGGCCAGTGAGCCACTCCATCATTGTGATGGGCCATATAGAAAAGTGTGGGAACTAGGAGGTAGTGTCTCCAACACAACCCTACACATCAGAAACCCCAACTTCGATCAGATTTTACTTGCTGTATTACTATTTCAGGCTACACATGAATACTATTTTTACACATTTTACTTTCTTTACAAATCCGAGGAAGCGATGTAGATTATTATGTTAAAGTGTCATGTTTTCCCATTAAGGAGATCTGTCCCAGAAAAAGAGTGCTTTGACATGCAACAGCGTGTGTCCAATTGTAATGATGAATTCAGTTTGAACATCAGAATTGTGAATAATGATTTCCAGTTTCCAAGGCTTCAGAGACAGATTGGAATTTCTGCACATTTGAAGTGACTTTTCTGTGACCATTAAGGATACTATATATATATATAAATAAAAGGAATATTTCTTATTTTTTTATGCTTATGATTTGGGCTTTTGTTCTCTTCAAAACTGTTTTTCTTCCCATGAAGGTCTATGGGAATGCAGAGTATGTTGCATTTGCCCTTTGAAGGCCATCAACACAGAGACTAAAAATGTGGTTGTAAACCTCACACAAGAAACACAAAGAAAGCATATCCCTCTATAGTGTGTACTTGTCTCAATCTAGAGCACTAAGTGTCATTTCTGTCTGCTGCTTTGTTCTTCTGCTATTAGCATGAGTTACTTCTGAAATGTTTTCTTGACACCAAGAGAAAAAAAGTGACAAGAGAGGGAGCTCAACACACAGCCTGTGATTGACACCCTCAGCTCTGTTCTGATGTGCTGTGTGAAGGGGGGGGGGGGGGGTGTCCCTTCCCTTCCCTCCAATCAACTCTCAGA